AAAAAATATTGACCCCAATAATAATTAAAGTTTAATTTTCCACAAAAAGGACACGTATTAAAACGACCAGTTTTTTCCTTTTCGTTAGCGGTTGCTTCGTTATCCTTAAGGTATTTTCGCAAGACACATTTTAAAAAAATATCAACTACATTGTTATTATTGATATTTTTCACATGAACAATTCCACGTTCATTAATATAAAACTCATATTTATCGTTGTAAAGGTATTTTTTAAAAAAAACTTGTGGATCTTGTAATCGTAAAGATTTATCTACTACCAAGTTCTTGACGGAGTTTTTACAGTTCATGTTAAAATCAAATTAATATTTTTTATTGTATGTACAGATGTATTTATATTTTTCGATTACCCAATTAGTAAAATACTTTTGGTTATAGAATGGTCCAAAGTGGGTAATTCGACATTACCCAATTTGTAAAATGCTTTTGGTTGCAGAATGGTCCAAAGTGGGTAATTCAGCATTACCCGATTTGTAAAAAATTCTATATTATTGTTTTGATTTTGCAATAATAAATAAATTAAATTTTATAATAAATAAAATATAAAGTTTAAGTTTTTTTTTAAAAAAAAAATAAAATTAAAATGCCAAAAGTTTATTCTCGTCATGAAATTCGAAAATTTTTTCATGATAATGTTGATAAAACATTAATCATTTGTGATTTTTGTGAACGATCGTATAAATCAAATACCTCAGTTTCAAATCTTAAACGTCATTTTTTAAAGCATCATAAAAATGAATATCAATCGATTTTACAACGATATCTGGAGAAGAAACAAAATGTATTACATAAGAAGGATTTGATTGATCTTGGAAATATTCGAGAATCAGTTAATTTACGAAATGTTCAAGTTTCAGAAGAAAATATCGATGAATATATAACAGAAGAAGAAGCCGAAGAAGTTGTTTCTTCAGGTGAAGTTGGCTTATCGAATGTAGTTGAGAAAAAAGATGATTTTATAAATAAAATTAGTAATATTGAATTTGAAGATAGTAGTCAGATTAATATAGTCAATAATCAGATTATTATTAAAGGAAGATGTAAAATTTTTTTTAAATAAATTTTAATAAATATTTGATTTTGTTAATTATCTTGTTGTTTTTGCTAAAAATAAATTGAAAAAAAAAATAGTCGCAGATTTTGTCCAAAGTGAGTAATTCGGTATTATCCAATTTGTAAAATGCTTTTGGTCACAGAACGGACCAAACTTGGTAATTTAACTCATGATGTAAATACGACCGCGTATAAACGCGTAAATTTTGATATGTAATAAAAACTATATAAATACGTTCTTTTACTTGAGTAAAACTAAAATGGCAAACAATTATAGATTTCGCCAAATCATGGCAACTGTATTTCATTGCATTCCTTGTGCAAATTCTTTTAAATGTACGAAAAATTTTTCTAAAAAAGATAAAGAGAAACGTGAAGAAATTTTTGCTCGAACTGGTG